TCATAAATAGTGCTCCAAATCAGCTGGGATTGGCTGCAGGTTATCATGGTGAGCACAGGTGCATGGGCCAGGGAGGGGAGCCCATAATGAGCACCGCCCTGGCAGAGGAGAGAGAGAGAGCACAAAGGAAAAAAACAAACAAAACACAGAGTCAGCCGGTGAGGAACGGGGACCATCACAAAGAAAAAGTCATAATTTTCCAGTTTGTCTTTTAACTGAATATCCATATTTCCTGCAATGCAATTGCTCTGTCTTGTAACTGTTTGTCTGGAGAGGAGTACATTTTAAATGGTTACCTTTTAAGAATTTTATTTTAAAATAACGGAATTTTTTAAGGGCATTTTAGCATGAGAATGGCTTAGTGCAGGGGTGTCGAACTCCAGGCCTCGAGAGCTGGTCTCCTGCAGGTTTTAGATATCACCCTGGGTCAACACACTCGACTCAAATGATTAGTTCATTACCAGGCCCCTGGAGAAGTTCAAAACATGTTGAGGAGGTAATTTAGCCATTTAAATAAGATGTGTTGGATCAAAGACACATCTAAAACCTGCACGACCCCAGCTCTCCGGGGCTGGAGTGTGTGTGTTGTTTTTGCAGATTTGATATATGCCCTTTTTTTTGCAGACATCTAGAATGAGTCGTATAAAGGATAGACATCGCTTGGTTTTGCAACATGTTGTGATCCTCATTTTTTTAACACAATCTTGTGGTGGTAAGTTGCACACCAACATTTAGAAAATCCACAGTTTAAAGTACTTACCTGTAGTTTTTTAACAGAACATGAAAACAAATACTGTAACAGCAACAGTTTATGTTGATTTAGTTAAATAAATCAGTTACATATCTTACTCAGCCTGATCTTGGAAACTCATGAAGTCTTCAGAATTACAAAACTGCAGAATTTATTTGTGTGTCTAAATTTGTTAGGTCAGCATCAGATGATTGGTCCAACTCAGCCAGTAGTGGCCATGATTGGTGATGACATCATTTTGCCATGCCACCTGGAACCTGCTGTGGATGCTGTTGACCTGACTGTGGATTGGTCCAGAAAGGACCTCAAACCTAGATCTGTCTATGTGAGGCGAGAGGGTGTGGAGCTTCTGACTGAGCAGAATCCTTTGTACACAGGAAGAACATCACTCTCTGTCAACAAACTGCAGTGTGGAGACGTTTCATTGAAACTCTCCACAGTGCAACTCTCTGATGCAGGAACATACAAATGCCTTGTACCTAAATTTAATGCAGAAACTGTGGTGACGCTTGCTGTAGGTAAGTTTAATTAAATTTAGATTAATTTCTTCACTTTGCAATTTAGATGTGAAGAAAGACTTTAAGCAACATAGATATTGAGGGTCAAAGGGCACTCAGAATGACAAGTAGGATAAAGGAACACTTGTGTCAGCTCCAGTAGAAAGTGGATCACAGACATGTGAGTTGAGAATAGAAGTGCATTTATTTTGGGTAACCAAACCAGCTCTGATTTGGGCTAAAAAATGCTTCTTGAACATATATTTGGACTGAGCATACTGACACAAACTGACAAGAGGGAATCCCTACTGAATCAATGGCAATCTAGTATTCTGGCCATAGGGGTACACAACCTGACCAGTGTAGCACATGGAACAGCTGGACAAATAAGAGAGGTGCATAACAAAAACCAACAGTATTTATAATTGGAGGGGATTTGTGCACCCACTAAATGGGCGTTTAGCCAACCGCGGGGGAGTTGGCCCCATGATAAAAACTCTACAGCCAAGGTGGCCCTTTTAACGACCAAGAGGGACCAGAGGAACGTTGATCTGACAAAGGAAATACTTGGATAGGTACAGGGTAATTTCAGCCTATATACAGGAATTTTGACAAGAGCAAATGGAACAAATAAGAATTTTCGAATTTTGTCCAGCCAGATTCGCAATGTTGATTTCACATATCATTGGGCCAATCTATAAGTCTCTTAGGACAAGAACAATGTGAGTTAAGATTGATCAGAGATAAATTTGGGCGAACTGTAACTATTTAATTCTTTTCTTTGTAGGTTCAGTTTCCTCACCAGTCATAGAACTCACCAATGTCAAAAATAAAATGGTGTTAGAGTGTAAATCTAATGGCTGGTATCCAGAGCCTCAGATGTTGTGGGTGTACAGTGAGGGAAAACCCATTTCTGTGGAACCTACAAAGATTGTCAGAGGTTCTGATGGCCTCTATACTGTCAGCAGTAAAGTGACTGTGGAGAAAGGACAGAGCTACAGCTTCACCTGCAAAGTTCAACAGAAGAATATCAGTCAAATCAAAGAGACACACATCCATGTTTCAGGTAGAAATGCTTTTTTATCACTCACATTAATTTTCAGTTACAGAAAGTAGAATCTAGAACATTTTGTCTCCTTATATTCACAGGTGATCTCTTTATGGTCCAGTCTAATACTGCTGTTCACATTATCATCAACTTGGCTGTCTGTTTAATAAGCGTCGGGACAGTAATATTCGTAATATGGAAGTGTGGACAAAAGAAAACCGGTAAGTTCAAACTTCATAGCACTTTTTACCCCAACCTCAAATTATCATCAGACCTTTTTAATGTCTTGTTTTAGTGTAACTGCCTTTAAAATTAAGGGCTAAGAAGTACAAACGTGATTCAAATAAAAATGACACAAACACATAAACAGTTATGTTAAAGGCACCCTAGGCAAAACAGTGGATGGAGACTGCAGCATGACCAAAATTATTACAGCAGTGATCTTGTAATCTCATTGCCTTTGTAATTGTTGCTTTGAAGATGCAGTTCATGTAATTGCTGCAGGGCAACGGTTTACCAGCAAAATTGAAGGCTCTCAACAACTTTACTTTTATAAAAGAATATAACCAGCTGGTAACAATTTGACTAGAGTCCTGTGTTACAATAAGATGTGTTACAGACATGTAGAGTTGGTCTCATCAGTGCAGATTGACTGCAATATCTTGACTCTCTGTCTGCATTTATAAACTAAGTGGTAATTCAGTGTGGTAAGTCAGACTGTGATTATTTATTGGCTGTTTGCATCCCATTAACGACCTGTGCAACACCCTCAACCTCTAAAAGACCAACTGGTTGCCACAACGACCTGCTGAATGTGTAAAAATTTTCCTCTATTGTGACTGAGACATTTGGGGGGGGGGGGCATAGGTAAAGATATTTGAGGAAATCATCCACTGTAAAATTATTATTATAGCAACAATAATACTGAAAAAAAAACTTTTTGTGCTTCATCCTGATTGTAAGTATTGCCACCAAAATATCATGTTCGCACTTATTTATTTCTATAAACAACAAAGTGAAAGGAAATTAAAATGTGAAAAATATGTATAAATATGTATGAATAGATATGTGATTTTGAATAAAATTGGCAGCAACTCTCTAATGTAATAGTAATGCTTCAAACTGTCTATTTTTATTTACATTTTAATACTGGTATAGTAATTTAGAACTGCCAGCACATGTGTAATACATAGAAATTACCAAAATTTTATCCCTATGATCTACATAAATACAGTTAAATACAGGGTATTTATATTAACCCTTATATTGATATGTATGTGGATATACATTCCACTCAAGATTGTTTCATGTTTTCATTTATTTATTTAAATTAGTATTATATTATACAGTAATTAATAGTCTTGAAGAGTCTAGATTTTTTTGCTTGTTTGTTTTGTTTTGTTTTAAGAAGCATCCTTAGCATTGTTTCCAAGTATGTGTTTTAGCTCTCAGCCATATTAGGTTTAAACATTTTTTTCCTACATTTTTATTCTAACAGAAAACAAAAGACTTGAAGATGAGTTTCAGAACAATGAGGAAGACTTAGAACATGTCCAACAAACCATTAAAAAACTCAAGGAGCAGAAGACATCTCTGAAGAATCAGAGAGAAAAACTCATCACACTGATTCAGGAGGACAAGACAGAGAAGAAAGAAATCATGTTGGAGACTATCCCAGCTTTGGCTTTGGATAAAGGCAAACAAAGGCAAAAGCTTACAAATAAAGAAAAGGACCTGGAAAAGAGAATGGAAGTACATGATGAACTGTTAAAGATGACAGACAAACTAATGGAGGAAACAGAGAACATTATAATCCAGATGACAGAAAGAAAGGGAAAGTTAGAAAAAGACAAGGAACAAATTATTAAACACTTGAGAGAGAAACAAAGAAATGAAAAAGATTTTGAAGAAACTGTCAGAGAAACAAGCGAGAAACAATGAACAGGTGTGTAAGAACCCAGGATGAGTTTTTCTTTAATATGTCTCATGCTAAAATCACACATACAAACTGTCATGTTGTGTTCAGTTTATGTTCCCTTTTTTTTATGTTCCCAGTGTCTTCAGTAGTGAACCTAACCCTATTTTTTTTTCTTTTTTCCTCAGCAAGCAACAGAGTAACACGATAAATAAAACATGGATTTTGCATTGCTGTCATTTTGCGATGCGATACCTGATGTCTTTATTTATTTGCTTTAAATTTATATTATATACAAGACATTTTGACTGTATTTTATCATAGGAGATTTTGTTATGATAAAATGTATCAATATTATTTAATCTTTTTAATCTTCTGTCTGTGTGAAAGTAAGAATTACACTGTGAGAGAAAGAAGAAAATATGAAAATATGCTGTATGTATTGTATTGTTGTGAGATCTGGGGTAGAAAGAGACTAAAGTCCCCCCCAGTCATCTCTAGATCAGAGGTGAGAGAGATTAAAAGGTCTTAATATTCAGACTTATGTGAGTAAGGCCACACACAAGGTCACACTAATACGTTTTCGTTTGAAAACGCAACTTTTTCTCTCCGTTTTGGCCTTCAGTCCACACTGAGACGGCGTTTTCAGTCAAGGAAAATGGAGCGTTTTGAAAATGTTCTTCAAAGCGGATACATTTAAAAACGCCGTTTTCGCATCGCAGTGTGAACAGCGTACCTGGAGCCTTTTTGAAAACTATGACGCATTTTAGTCATGTGATGCATTCATGTGACCAATTAAACTAAGACAGCGGAGGGCAGTTGTTACAGCAGTTGTTTTGTTTGCTCTCAATTTTGACAGCTCTATTAAAGATTAATATCAGTTTGTACATGCTCCAGATAGCTTTTCTTCAAATTCTTTAATTCCCACTCGCTTTTGCAACTTTGTACTTTTGTGTTACTCGCAGCAACAACTCCACCTAATTGTTAGTCCATTTAAAAAACTTGGTGCTTTTCCTCAACGTTTTTGGACGTTTCAATGTGTACTCACAACTCTGTGAAAACAACTGAAAATGGTAGTGTGGACGCGGAGCGTTTTAAGATGAAAACGCCATTTTCAAATTTATCCGGACTAGTGTAGACGTAGCCTAAAAGTCATCAAAGTTCTAAAACAGAGCTTTCCCTCTATTTCCTCATAATAAAGCTTTTTTATTTTTAATCAAAGATGAATCAAAATATAAGTTTGATCAATATTAGATCAATATTTCAATGAGAAACAAAGTTTGATTAATGGAAATAACTGTTTTAATGTCTGAATTTTGTGGTGGTGTCTAAGTGCTCATGAGCAACTTCAACCTTTACAGTTTTGTGTCTAATTCCTCACCAAGAGTCTGACCTTGGTGTGTGTGTGGGTGTGTGGTGCAGGATGGGGGGTGAAAGTGACAGCCTGGGGCCACTAATTTAAGAAAATGTCTGACTACAAAATGTATGATTTAATAAAAGAAGTTTAATAAAATAAATAATTTTTAAAAAGTGAATTAACAGAGTTTAAAGATGTGAAAGTATTCCTCTGTGTTTGAATTATGTTACAATAAATTTTCGTGTGAAAATGTGCTAAAGATTGTTAAGAAAAACAAAGGAAATGTAATGAATTGATTTCAAAGTTTAAAAGTACAAACTTTGTGTTAAATCATATAAGTCAGAGAGGCAGAGAGTGACAGATAAGGTGTGGGTGGACATCGGGTGATAAAATATCAACCACTTGATTGGATGTCCAAAATGTGAAGATGTGACGCCCAGTATGAGAAAGGGGAGAAAGGGTGAGCAGGTAAAAAATGGGGTATAATCAATGTTCCCTCTAATTTTTCACGTGTCTGAGCGAACACACAAACTCCCTGAGCGATCCCTTGGACCACTGTGAGCGACATCAGACGTGTGCACTGTGGTCATGTCAGCATTGAATCCATCCAAGTTACATGATTTATTAAGATAATCAAATCACATCATTTACATTTATGTTAGACTACTTTTAATTAACTGCTTTAGCCCATTTACAATGAAAATGTAAAAAAAAAATGTAGTCATTGACCTGTGTAGTATGTTAACACTATTGGAAGTAAAAATGAACTCAAATTTTGAAAACACAACTTTTTTCTTTTTTTTTTTATAAAGCTCTGGCTTGTATTATGAGTCTGAGTCTGTGGTCTGGGAGAGAGTCCTGTAACTCTGTCTGCAAAATATAGTATATAATGACCAATGTTGGGCAATTAATTATATAGTTACTTCTTCAAAAAAGTAACTCAGTTTGGCAAACAACAAAGTTTTTTGCAGCTATTTTTTTTAAATGCAGCCAAGGTGTTTTTTTAAATAAACATGTCAAACTATTTACAGAGCAATCAGGTGTTCTGCATCAAATTTGATGCCATACAAATCATTTGTGCCACTCCAAAAATAATTTCTGTCCACATAAAGGAGAACATCACAAGCCTGATACCTGCAGGCCTGACAACAGGAGATGTATCACTCCTGTAAAACCTGTAACATTCAGCAGTCGCCTCATTGTTCTGACACACACAACAAAACTATTGACTACACAACATACTAACTACATAAGATTTGCGCTATGTTGCAAATCTCTCACATCTCACATCTCAAAACACCGCCGTCACTCCTAAAACTTCCCCCCGTTTCTTAACAACTAGATGCCATGTTGCCATATCATTTTTTGATTGGTCGACATGGTACTTTTTTCGACCAATAGGGAAGGGTGGGGGTGTTTTTGGTTTTGTTTTTGCTCACAGGCAGAAAGCGCTTTCGAGCGTTTTTTCTTATAGACCATTTCTTCCCGCAGTAAATATAAACAACGTCAGTATTCAGGAAGAAAACCAAACATTGCAGATATTTTTATCACAACTCTGGTTTTACGTGGCCTATCAACACAATTTAAAAACTGGTATAAAGTCCACACTTTCTCCATCAGTTGTTCCGTCTGTCCTGCTCACATCTCCAATGGTTGTACACGTTGTCATTAACGTGGCTTCACTCCACATCAGCCACGCCGCTTTGCTAGCTAAAACACCGTTGTCGGCACATAAGGACGCTGTCATAGCCTGTCAACAACGTTAATTAGCTGCGTATATACGAATGTGAATCACATTATTGGCTGGACTATGGGATAAGGTGGCATCGTTCTAATCCCATACGGTAGCAGCCAGTCACTGACTAACACTGCAAAACAGAATTGTTGAAGTTTTCATTTCAATTCAGGTTAGATTTTTTTTGTGCTCAACACAGGTTTTCTGTGCGCAGAGACCGTGCCAGCAGTGTGCAATTGCGCACGTGCGCAGCTTAGAGGGAACATTGGGTATAAAAGAGATTTTGGGTTCTTCCCCTTTGTCTTCTGTGAGATGAGCAGTTCAGAAGACTGGAGGTGAAAATTCTAGCAGGGACACTAAAAGGGGTAATGGAAGTCCAAACTTTGAACCTGTGAATTGATTGTGGAATTTATATCTCTAATAAAATATTCTGCAATTAAAGTCTAAATTGTGGACATTTTAACCTTAAACAGTAAAGATAATGGTCTGAGTATTACTCTTTATTAGTGCAAATAGCTCTTACATGTTACCCTGTCAATCAAAACAGTAGTTGGTGATGACATGGCATTTTTTTAACCTGCCATCAGTGTTGTTTCTAAGGCTGAGAAGTGGACCAGATCTAAGCACAAATAACACAAAAAGTTACAACATAAACAGACCTAAGTGATTTAAATTGATCAAGTGTTTGTGCAGATCTAATATTTAGGAGAAGACTGCTCCAAAGTTTGGGACCTGCCACAGAGAAGGCTCTATCATCACACGATTTGAGTTTAGTCCAAGGGATGGATAGCATTAATTTTGAACTGGACCTCATGGTTTCTTCTGCAGCATAAACATGTAGCGGTAGACTACTGTTCCCATAAGGCTGTGTGTGGGGGGAGCTTCCGGGGTTACGAGAAAAGTTGGAAAACATCACCCGAACACGCTGCGTCCAGTGTCATCATTTATACGAAACAGATAGGAGCTAAGACAGGTGCGAAGGGGCTCGGGCGTTGAGTGACATAAAAACAAAAAGTAAAAGTCTCCTGTAGGAGACAGGAACCCAGTGTAGATAAGCTAAAACTGGGGTTACATGCTCTCTGCGTTTGGCGCCGGTTAGCAGACGAAGAGCTGCATTTTGGACCATCTGAAGATGATAAATGGAGGCCTGGTCGAGACCAAAATACAATGAATTGCAGTAGTCCAATCTGCAAGTAAGGAAAAGGTGAATGATGCGTTTGAACACGTTAGCTGGGAGGTATGGCTTTACCTTGGCTCGCTGTCTTAACTGAAAAAAGCAGGATTGGACTACTGCACTCACCTGCCTACTTAGTTTAAAGGAACCATCAAGGTAGACACTGAGGTTTTCTACATGTGTCTTGCAGTAGGAAGATAGGGGGCCCAGAGTGCTGTCACGTTATTGTTAAAAAAGTTGCCAAAAATGACAGTTTTATTTATGTTTATGTGTAGAAAATTTAAAGACATCCACTGAGCCACTGATGTTATCAAGGCAGCGTAAAAAAAAGCTGGGGTCAATCTGACCTTACATTTAAAGGCAGATACATCTGCAAATCATCAGCAAAGTAGTGGAATGAAATGTTGTACCATAAAATGATGGAACCCAGTGGCAACAAATACAGTGCAAACAGGGCAGGGCCCAAAATAAAGCTTTGAAGTACACCATTGCTAAGAGGGGTATTTTGGAGGTATGGGAGCCTATATTAACGTAAAAAGACCTTCCTGATAAATAGGACCGAAACCACTGGAGGGCAGATCCTTTTAGGCCCGCATGAAATTCCAGCCGTGATAACAGGATGTCGTGGTCGACCGTGTCAAAAGCTGCTGACAGGTCCAACAATAAAAGGGCAGCAGGGCTGCCAGAGTCCAGAGTTAAAAGAATATCATTAAAAGCTCTTAGAAGAGTTGTCTTAGTGCTATGTAGTGTTTTTAAACCAGGATGAAATTTTTCAGAGATCTTGCTAAAATCAAGGTGGGCCTGTAACTGTAAATAGACCACTTTCTTCAGGACTTTTGAGAGAAAAGGAAGCTTTGAGATTGGCCTGTAATTGGACAGAACAGTTAAGTCCAGGCTATGTTTTTTAAGAAGAGGCTGAACTATAGCTTGTTTAAAGCATGATGGGACACAGCCTGTAGCAATAGAAGTAATTAATCTCAGGATAAAAGGCCCAACAGTATTAAAAGTATTTTTTTTTTTTTTTAAATGACATCAGAAACAGCAGTATGCGACATTACGTGATGGCAGAGCTTCAGTT